TAAGGGGAGGGGGGCAATTTTATAGAGAAATCAGTATTGGTATCATTGATACTGGCCTTCAGTCATAAAAAAGATGCCATTAAACAAATATTAAAAAATATACTGTATTTATGTTGTTTGTACATTAATTTGAATATTGAATGTGAAATAATTGCAATATAAAAGTATATTTAAAAAATTTAATGTTAGGTGGAATTAATCGCGATTAATTTCAGGAAAATGTGATTAATTAGTAAAAAAAATTTAATCGATTGACAGCCCTAATATATACAGTGGGTACGGAAAGTATTCAGACCCCCTTAAATTTTTCACTCTTTGTTATATTGCAGCCATTTGCTAAAATCATTTAAGTTAATTTTTTTTCCTCATTAATGTACACAAAGCACCCCATATTGACAGAAAAACACAGAATTGTTGACATCTTTGCAGATTTATTAAAAAAGAAAAACAGAAATATCACATGGTCCTAAGTATTCACACCCTTGGCTGTGACACTCATATATTTAACTCAGGTGCTGTCCATTTCTTCTGATCATCCTTGAGATGGTTCTACACCTTCATTTGAACGTACCCACTGTATATATATATATATATATATAAACAGCAACTTAATATTTATATATAAAATATGAATAGGCTAAAATAAGAATACTTTACATTTTTTGGGTGAAAAAGGGAATCTAATTCTATATTTGTATTGAAGCATAAAACCGTCTTCAATCCAGGATAGTATACTAATATATTACAGAAGGAAATCCATCCTCTGCCAAGCTGTGGTTCCCTTGTTTCCCCTGAGGAGGGCACCAGAGAGCACAAACCACTACACATTTAATCACCTCCACATAGGGGCACAGGTGCAGCCACATGCTCATACTCGCCGTCCACACACTCGCTCCACTCTGCCAGAATTCCCATTCGCCTGTTAACATAAACAGCCACATGTGTATGCTTGCCACACATGTCTCGGCAGGATGCTTCCATCCCTGCTGACAGCCCACTGGGCACAGGTACTCACACTGAAACCAGAAATGTCAGTGCTCATTAACAGCCAAGACGCACCCACTCACCATCCCTACACGTCACATACCTGACCCTGACCACTGGACTCCCATCAGCCTATGCACTGGATCCCTGGCAGCCTATGCATTTAAACTATTTTTGCTTTATCAATCAGCTCTGACATTTGAATACGCATTTAAGGTAATGCAGTCTTATGTGGCATCTCTCTCAGGCTTTCTCGGGCCTGAAACTAACACTTCGTTACTTCTGCCAACGGCATAAATATATATATATATATATTTTTTTTTTACCAACCATGAAGTTGTATGTGCATTATTTCCTCAAAAACAGTACATAACAAATTGAACTGTAATAATATTGAACAGTGCAGTATTTCATTATAATAATGTATTTTATATAATGATAATTATTAGATGGATAGAAATATCAACAGAAATTATTATATAGATAGAATGACAACGATCATTCTAAAAACAGTCAGATGGACTGATAGATCACAAACAGAATGACAGAAAAATTATAGATAGATAGATAGATAGATAGATATGGTATTAGACAATAGGACTGTGCTACAGTATATAAAACTGGCTTTCTCAGCAACTCGTGCACTGATTTATGAATGTTTCTCAGATGCATGTGCATTCATCTGTCATGCTCTGCTGTTCTGTATGATTATGTGCGCATGTGTGTGCATGTGTGTGTGTCAGGGTGGTTTTGCAGGGCAAGTCAAGAGATATGTGGGTTAATCCTGTGGGACTCCTTCAATGGGCCACGTGGGACTGCACACACACACACACACACACACACCAACACAGATCCTCCGGGCCTGCTGCCCTGATTCTGAGCCTGCACCGGATTACCGAGAGTAGGAAATGAAAGATCATCCAGCATAAAGGCACTCAAAGAGCCCCTATTCAAACTCCACCAGAGAAAAGAAAAGTGGGGGAGAGAGAAAGATATGGAGAGAAAAAGAAAGCCATCTGCGTGTGCACTCGCATCCACCTGAGCGAAAGCACTGCAACGCATATGCTACAGTAATTTGCTCCTGTGCCGCCTCACTATCCATTAATAGCACTGGGATTCATTCACTGCAGCATAAACCTGTGAGAACTGAATTATTTGCTTGTTGCATGTGGAGAGTCTCAAATGAAGCTCCTGCAGCACCTGAGGCAAAGAAAAGACTTTGAATCATGTGGGTAATTGATTTTGCTGTATATTAGCCTAAGAGAAGCAGTGATATTACACAACGCAAAAGAATAGAAAGGAGGAACTTCTGAGAGAGCAGTCAGTTAGGACTTGAAGAGATTTTGTCTGCTTTAGTTATTCTCCCAATTATATATCTAATATAATAAATATCTGATTTTGCATTAAAGGAATAGTTAATTCAAAAATGAAAATTCAGTCAATTTACTCACTAATGTCAACTTCACTTTCTTCTGCGAAGCCCAAAAGATGATGTTAGAGAGAATGACTGGCTCAATCATCATTCACTTTCATTGTGTGGGGGAAAAAATGCAATAAAAGTGAATGGTGACTGAGGCTCTCAGTCCCTAATATTCTGTCTAACATCTCCTTTTGTGTTTCAGTGAAGAAAGAAAGTCATACAGGTTGGAGAAATATGAGGGAGAAGAAATGATGGCAGAAATGCCATTTTGGGGTGAACTATCCCTTTAAGCAGTGCATTCTCCCTGATTTATGTTTTGCATTACATTACAATTGCCCTATTATTCAAATTATTCTCTAACTTTTCTGGCCAGTCAAAACTGTGAAAGAGAGAAACTGTCTGGATATTAGAAACAAGACAACATGGAAATATTAAAGGAATAGTTCAGTCCAAAATTTAAATTAGCTGAAAATTCAATCACCCTCAGGCCATCCAAGATGTTCATGAACAGATTTGGAGAGATTTAGCATTACATCACTTGCTCACCAATAGATCCTCTGCAATGAATGGGTGCTGTCCAAACAGCTGACAGCACCCATTCACTGTAGAGGATCCATTGGTGAGCAAGTGACGTAATACTACATTTCTCCAAATCTGTCCAAAGCAACAAGCTCATTTTAGGTTAACTATTCCTTTAAAGGGGTCATATGATGCGATTTCAATTTTTCCTTTCTCTTTGGAGTGTTACAAGCTCTTGGTGCATAAAGAAGCTATTCTTTATAAAAGTTAAGAGTCAACCACGCCTACCTAAAACGGCTCGTTCTAACATGCCCCCACATGTCTACGTCAAGATGTGGGAAGATTTGCATAA